TAAACAAATGCACGTTGTTGGTGTTTTTTTGTTGCTTTTAACTGGTTGTGTTGCGTTTGAAAGTTCGCTTCAATGATATGGTTTCAAACTTGTTTGATAAGTCATGCATGTTTAACCCTATTTTGGGTACAACAAAGTGTAGTCTATAGTATGTCTAATCTCTAGTGTAGTCTACAGTGTAATCTATAATCTAGTCTATAGTCTAGTCTACAGTCTAATCTATAGTCTAGTCTACAGTCCAATCTATAGTCTAGTCTATAGTCTAGTCTACAGTCTAATCTCTAGTCTAGTCTATTGTCTAGTCTAAAGTCTAGTCTATAATCTAGTCTATTGTCTAGTTTATTGTCTAGTCTATAGTCTAGTCTATAGTCTAGTCTATAGTCTAGTCTATAGTCTAGTCTATAGTCTAGTCTATAGTCTAGTCTATAGTCTAGTCTATAATCTAGTATTTAGTCTAGTCTAATGTCTAGTCTATAGTCTAGTCTATAGTCTAGTCTATAGTCTAGTCTATAGTCTAGTCTATAGTCTAGTCTATAATCTAGTCTATAGTCTAGTCTATAGTCTAGTCTATAGTCTAGTCTATAGTCTAGTTTATAGTCTAGTCTATAGTCTAGTCTATAGTCTAGTCTATAGTCTAGTCTATAGTCTAGTCTATAGTCTAGTCTATAGTCTAGTCTATAGTCTAGTCTATAGTCTAGTCTATAGTCTAGTCTATAGTCTAGTCTATAGTCTAGTCTATAGTCTAGTCTATAGTCTAGTCTATAGTCTAGTCTATAGTCTAGTCTATAGTCTAGTCTATAGTCTAGTCTATAGTCTAGTCTATAGTCTAGTCTATAGTCTAGTCTATAGTCTAGTCTATAGTCTAGTCTATAGTCTAGTCTAGTCTATAGTCTAGTCTATAGTCTAGTCTAGTCTAGTCTAGTCTAGTCTAGTCTATAGTCTAGTCTATAGTCTAGTCTATAGTCTTGTCTATAGTCTAGTCTATAGTCTAGACTATGAATGAGAATTAAAATGGGACTATAGTCCAGGTATTAATATAAACTATAGTCCAAAATATATATAAGACTAAAGTCCAGACTATAAACAGGTCTATAATCTATGTTATAGATGAGGCTATAGTCAAGGCTGTGGATGAGACTACAGTCCAGATTGAGAACCATAGCACAACCCAGATTTTAGACTACAGTTCAGAGCATAACATAGACTTCTTTGCTGGAATTAAAGTATATAGGTAATTGAATTTATAAGTTCCAATACTTTCCGAACAGTTGTAAGTCCCCTCATAAAAAAACCCCCCGAAATAACAAAACAACCCTAAAAAGAAAATCACCTTAAAAATCTTAACTGATAAGAAAATTTCTCTAAAAGATTAGCAAAAAATCTAAGTATAAAAGTCTGACTTTCATTCTAAGTGTTATCATTGCAATTTAGACTTTAAATTAAATATATTCCTAAAGCAGCAAAAACAAATTAACAACATGAAAATTATTTGCCTTTTAGTAATTTTTGCCTTGAGCGCCGTGTTTGCTTATCCCCAAGTACAAGAATGGAAGGTGAGTTATTTTTAAAACTTCAATGATCTTACAGCCTTCAAAATTTGTTTTCTTTATATCATAGGATCCCAAAATCTTTGCAGCGGGAGGTGGTAATCAAAAGGATGGTTATGACTTTACTGCCAATGTTCGCAAAAATGTTTGGGAAAGTGATAATGGCAGACATTCGTTTGATGTAACTGGTGGCTACTCACAGCATTTGGGTGGTCCCTATGGCAATAGTCCAGCAGATCGTCGTGTAGGTGGCATTTACACTTATAGATGGTAGATTCCGAAAGAGGTGTAATTTTTATTGATTTAAGGAAACGTATTTAATGTAGAAATTATGAATAAATAAAATATTGAAAATTATAACCATTTTTTAAGTTTAATCTTTCAAATTCCGTTGCTGATCTATTTTAAATCTATTCTTCAAATTAAAAAAAAAAAGAGTTTTGCGTTTTTGTTTCAATTCTTCTAAAATTGAGACACTGATTACCATTGCGGTTTAAGAAGTGATTTTAATCATAGGCCTCATATAATCGTATCTGAAGTAAACTTGTCCCTCAATCAACAAAATTGGATTTTCCAGCATTGAGTTTGTATATATGTATATAAAAATTCAATCTTAGGCTTTCATAGAAAAGAATTTCAAAATATCAATAACAAACTGGACTATAGTTCAGACATTAGACTAGACTATAGATTACTCTAGAATGCAAACTATATACTAAACTAAATCCGTATAATAGAATAATCTATATTCTTCACTATTGACTAGTCTATAGTCCAGACTATAGACCCTTTAGACAAAAGTTCAGACTTTAGACTAGATTATAGTCCAGACTGTGGAACCTAAGTACATTCTAGATCTATTATCGATTTATAAAATTTTTGATTAATTTCCAAGTTATATAAACGTATCGATAAATGTTCTTTTTATAGAAAATGTTCGATAAATGTTCTTTTTATAGAAAATTTTCGATAAATATTCTTTTTATAGAAAATTTTAGATAAATGTTCTTTTTATAGAAAATTTTCGATAAATTCTCTTTTTATAGAAAATTTTCGATAAATTCTCTTTTTATAGAAAATTTTCGATAAATTCTCCTTTTTTATAGAAAATTTTCGATAAATTCTCCTTTTTTATAGAAAATTTTCGATAAATTCTCCTTTTTTATAGAAAATTTTCGATAAATTCTCCTTTTTTATAGAAAATTTTCGATAAATTCTCCTTTTTTATAGAAAATTTTCGATAAATTCTCCTTTTTTATAGAAAATTTTCGATAAATTCTCTTTTTATAGAAAATTTTCGATAAATTCTCTTTTTATAGAAAATTTTCGATAAATTCTCTTTTTATAGAAAATTTTCGATAAATTCTCTTTTTATAGAAAATTTTCGATAAATTCTCTTTTTCATAGAAAATTTTCGATAAATTCTCTTTTTCGTAGAAAATTTTCGATAAATTCTCTTTTTCATAGAAAATTTTCGATAAATTCTCTTTTTCATAGAAAATTTTCGATAAATTCTCTTTTTCATAGAAAATTTTCGATAAATTCTCTTTTTCATAGAAAATTTTCGATAAATTCTCTTTTTCATAGAAAATTTTCGATAAATTCTCTTTTTTATAGAAAATTTTCGATAAATTCTCTTTTTTATAGAAAATTTTCGATAAATCTCTTTTTTATAGAAAATTTTCAATAAGTTCTCTTTTTTATAGAAAATTTTCGATAAGTTCTATTTTATATAGAAAATTTTCGATAAGTTCTATTTTATATAGAAAATTTTCAATAAGTTCTATTTTATATAGAAAATTTTCGATAAGTTCTATTTTATATAGAAAATTTTCGATAAGTTCTATTTTATATAGAAAATTTTCGATAAGTTCTCTTTTTAATAGAAAATTTTCGATAAGTTCTCTTTTTTATAGAAAATTTATCGAAAATTTTCTATAAATGGAAAATTTATCGAAAATTTTATATAAATAAAATATATATAAAATAGAACTTATCGAAAATTTTCTATATAAAATAGAATTTATCGAAAATTTTCTATATATTTATAGAAATAAATAGAATAAATAGAAAATTTTCGATAAATTTTCCATTTATAGAAAATTTTCGATAAATTTTCCATTTATAGAAAATTTTCGATAAATTTTCCTTTTATAGAAAATTTTCGATAAATTTTCTTTTTATAGAAAATTTTCGGTAAATTTTCTTTTCATAGAAAATTTTCGGTATATTTTCTTTTTATAGAAAATTTTCGGTATATTTTCTTTTTATAGAAAATTTTCGGTATATTTTCTTTTTATAGAAAATTTTCGGTATATTTTCTTTTTATATAAAATTTTCGGTATATTTTCTTTTTATATAAAATTTTTGGTATATTTACTTTTTATATAAAATTTTCGATAAATTTTCTTTTTATATAAAATTTTCGATAAATTTTCTTTTTATAGAAATTTTTCAATAAATTTTCTTTTTATAGAAATTTTTCTATAAATTTTCTTTTTATAGAAAATTTTCGATAAATTTTATTTTTATAGAAAATTTTCGTTAAATTTTCTTATATAGAATCTTTTCGATAAATTTTCTTTTATAGAAGCTATTCGATAAATTTTCTTTTATAGAAGCTTTTCGATAAATTTTCTTTTATAGAAGCTTTTCGAAAAATTTTATTTTTTACAGAAAATTTTCTACCAAGATTCTTTTGATACAAAATTTTACACAAATTTTCTTTTTATGGAAAATTTTACACAAATTTTCTTTTTATGGAAAATTTTACACAAATTTTCTTTTTATGGAAAATTCCCGATAAATTTTCTTTTATAGAAAATTTCCGATAAATTTTCTTTTATAGAAAATTTCCTGTAAATTTTATCTTTATAGAAAATTTCCGATAAATTTTCTTTTTATAGAAAATTTCCGATAAATTATCTTTTTTTGGAAAATTTCCGATAAATTATCTTTTTTTGGAAAATTTCCGACAAATTTTCTTTTTATTCCGACAAATTTTTTTTATGGAAAATTTCGATAAATTAAAAAATTGTCAAAAATTTCACTTTTGTAGAAATTTTCGATAAATTATTGTCAATTTTAATACAACATATTTATGTGCATAGAAATTTTTAAATAAATTTACAAATGTCGGGAAACTAAAAACCCTATATTGTAATCAAATGAACGTCTGTTAAATATTAACAATATATCAATTTAAAAAAATCAATCATAACATATGGACTTTTTGAAATCTTTATAATTTTTTCAAAAAATCCCCGCTTAAAGAAGAATATTATTTAGTAGCTAATATTTAAATATAGAAAAGAAACATATGTACATAGGTACATATATTTTGTAGCAGATAATGTTTTTTGGATTTAGCAAAAGTGATAACAGTAAACCCCCCAAAAATATCAAATACTAGAAAATTCATATAAAAGTATCTGTAATTTCTTTCAGTACCTCATTGGCAAATTATTTCTAAACCCAAGCTTAACTTTCGAAAACGATGAAATTCCTCTGTTTGTTACTACTTTGTGCCTTAAGTATGACACTAGCTAAGCCTCAATATCAACCTGATAATAAAAAGGTAAGTTACTAGTGATATTTTTTTTTTATAAATATATACTCAAATTTTCTTTTATTTCAGTTGCCTCAAATTACCACAATTGGTAATGGTTCTTTTAAGCAGGGTAATGTTAACTTTGATGTCCGTCAACAAATCTGGCAAAGTCCCAATCAACGTCATTCAATCGATGGTACTGGTGGTTATTCAAGAAATTGGGGTGAACCCAAACCGATAGATAATCTTAAGAACTATCGCGTTGGTGTTGGTTATACTTATAGATTTAAAGGCTAATGTTGCAAATGTTTTTAAAGAAATAGTAATTAATTTTTAGTGTAATTAGAATTTAAGATGTACATAGCAAATAATTAAATAAATCATAATAATTAAATTATTATAATTAAAATGAAAACTGTAGTTTAAACTATAGACTAGACTATAGTCCAGACTATGTCCAAATTATACAATAATCCAGACAATAAAGCACATTTAATACTACAATTTAGACAGTAGGCAGACTATAGACTAGATTGTAGTCCAGATTATAAACTAGACTGTAGTCCAGACTATAGACTAGACTGTAGTCCAGACTACAGACTAGACTGTAGTCCAGACTATAGACTAGACTGTAGTCCAGACTATAGACTAGACTGTAGTCCAGACTATAGACTAGACTGTAGTCCAGACTTTAGACTAGACTGTAGTCCAGACTATAGACTAGATTGTAGTCCAGACTATAGACTAGACTTTAGTCCAGACTAGACTGTAGTCCAGACTATAGACTAGACTGTAGTCCAGACTATAGACTAGACTGTAGTCTAGACTATAGACTAGACCGTAGTCCAGACTATAGACTAGACTGTAGTCCAGACTATAGACTAGACTGTAGTCTAGACTATAGACTAGACCGTAGTCCAGACTATAGACTAGACTGTAGTCTAGACTATAGACTAGACTGTAGTCTAGACTATAGACTAGACTGTAGTCCAGACTATAGACTAGACTGTAGTCCAGACTATAGACTAGACTGTAGTCCAGACTATAGACTAGACTGTAGTCCAGACTACAGACTAGACTGTAGTCCAGACTATAGACTAGACTGTAGTCCAGACTATAGACTAGACTGTAGTCCAGACTATAGACTAGATTGTAGTCCAGACTATAGACTAGACTTTAGTCCAGACTAGACTGTAGTCCAGACTATAGACTAGACTGTAGTGTAGACTATAGACTACACCGTAGTCCAGACTATAGACTAGACTGTAGTCTAGACTATAGACTAGACTGTAGTCTAGACTATAGACTAGACTGTAGTCCAGACTATAGACTAGATTGTAGTCCAGACTATAGACTGTAGTCTAGACTATAGACTAGACTGTCTAGACTAGACTAGACTGTAGTCTAGACTATAGACTATAGACTAGACTGTCTAGACTAGACTAGACTAGACTAGACTGTAGTCTAGACTATAGACTAGACTGTAGTCTAGACTAGACTAGACTGTAGTCTAGACTAGACTAGACTGTAGTCTAGACTATAGACTAGACTGTTGTCTAGGCTATAGACTAGGCTGTAGTCTAGGCTATAGACTAGGCTGTAGTCTAGACATATGTAGTACATATATCTATATAGACTAGGATATAGTCCAGACAATAAACTAGAATATAATCCAGACTATAGACTAGACTGCTGTCTAGACTATAGACTAGACTGCTGTCTAGACTATAGACTAGACTGCTGTCTGGACTATAGACTAGACTATAGACTAGACTGTAGTCCAGACTATAGACTAGACTGTAGTCCAGACTATAGATTAGACTGTAGTCCAGACTATAGATTAGACTGTAGTCCAGACTATAGATTAGACTGTATTCCAGACTGTAGACTATGTTATAGCTCAGACTATAGACTAGACTATAGTCTAGATTATATTATAGATCAGATTTAGACTGGACTATAGCCCAGACTTTAGACTAGACTATAGTCCTGACTATAGACTAAACATTAGTCCAGGTTATAGAGTAGACTATAGTCCACTATAGTCTTGTCTATAAGTTTAAACCATAAACATATAAAACGAACTTATAGTTTAGACTATAGCTCAGACTATGGACTATTTTATAGCTCAGACTATAGACTGGACTATAGCCCAGACAATAGACTAGGCTAGTGTCCAGACAATAGTCAAGATTATAGACAATACTAGTCAAGACTATAGGCCAGTCTATAAGATATATACTATAGTCCAAACTATTCTATAGTCCAGGCTATATACTAGACAATAGTCCATACTTTAAACTGGCTAATATTCCAAACTACAGATCCAGACTATAGATTAGAATCAAGGTCAAATTATAGTTCATATATTATACTATAGTCCAAACTTAAGACTAGACTAGGGTTCAGATTATTGATATTTCTACTGAACAAAGTAATTTTTTTAAGAAAAACAAAAGTTTTATTTTGTTTAATAACCCCGCCTTTATATATATTAATCAGGAAATATTTAATATTTTTTAGGTATATTAAAAATATATACAAATTTAAAACAAAAGAAGCGCACATTTTAAAAAGAGATAGTGTTATTCCCACAGCAAGTAAATCCCCTTCCCTGAAAAAATTACCTTAAGTTTTCCTATAAAAGTAAAAGGCATTTGTTCTAGCAGTTTTAGTTTAAAATGATTACCTCAACTAAACTAAATTTTTAAAATAATATGACTTTATTGTATTTATTACTATTTTTTTGCTTCAGCAATGGTACTGGCTTTGCCTCAATAGAAAATCGAGAAAAATGAATTTAAAGTAAAAATTTAGTATTTTGGTAAATTTTTTATACCCACCATCAAAAAAGATGGGAGGTATATTGATTTTGTCATTCCGTTTGTAACTCATCGAAATATTGGTCATAAACCCACAAAAGTATATATATTCTGGGTCCTCATTAAATTCTAAGACGATCTAGCCATGTCTGTCCGTCCGTCTGTCTGTCTGTCTGTTGAAAGCACGATAGAGTCCGAATGGAAAGAGCTAGAGGGTTGAAATTTCACATAAATATTTCTTATTGGTAAGGTTTGTTTGGTATTGAAAATGGACAATATCGGTCCACGTTTTCGGATAGCCCCCAAACAAGTGGCCCCTCGAAAAGCAGCTTTAACAGCCATAACTTGTTTAAAAATACGAATATAACAATGAAATTCGACATAAGTAAGTTTCTTGTGATCCAAAATCACTATGCTATGAGGATCGGTCCATAATAGACCTTGCCCCATATAAGGTCCTCCAGAAAATGACTTTAACGCTCATAACTGGCTTAAAAATACTAGTATATAGATGAAATTCGACATAAGTAAGTTTCATACGAGTCAAAATCTATCTAAAAAATGTTATGTTGATCGGTCCATGATTGACCCTACCCCCCATATAAGGTCTCCTTCAGAAAATTACTGCAACGCTCATTAATGGAACGAACCAAATTCTGTCTACCAAATTTTATGAGGATCGACCCATAATTGACCCTACCCCACTATATAAAGTCCCCTTCAGAAAATTACTTTAACGCTTATAACTGGCCTAAAAATACGAATATATAGATGAAATTCGACATAAGTAAGTTTCATTCGAGTCAAACGAGGTTTGATGGTGGGTATATAAGATTCGGCATAGCCGAATATAACACTCTTACTTGTTAATTATTAAATTATTATTTAAATGTTAAAGCTAATTTCTTATTAGCTAATTTCTTATTAATTAAGTTCCTTCCTTTATAAATAACATAAGAAACCAACATAAGTATAAAAAAATATTAATCAGATTATGATTAAACTAAATAAAATACGAGATAAGTAATTTCTGCTAAAAGTAAATCCCCCTTTAAATAAAAATATTTATATTAAAAAAAAAAAAAAAACAAAAAACAAAACATATAAAAGACAGAGAGAAATCATCAAGCAGCATCAGTACGTAATTACTTGTTAAACTAAGCAAATCTAAAGCAAAATGAAATTCGTTTATTTATTGGCCATTTGCGTTTTATACATGGCCGCCATGGCATCGGCTCAGAAAAAGGTAAATCATAAAATTTTCTATATATTTTTTAATACTTTTTAAATAAAATTTTATTATTTTTTTCTAAAAATCTTTAAAGTTTAACTTGCCTCCTCCAGAACCCAAAAATGTAAGTTTAATATTTTTTCTTAATCAATCAATATATTTTAATTAATTCAAAACTTTCAATTTAGTTGCCCCAGTTGAGCGGCGGCGGTGGCGGCTCCCGTAAACAAGGCTTTGATGTTAGTTTAGATGCTCGTCAAAAGGTTTGGGAAAGTCAAAATAAACGTCATTCTGTTGATGCCACGGTCGGTTATTCTCAACATTTGGGCGGACAATATGGCAGTAGTCGTCCTTCTTATCGTGGTGGTGTGGGTTATACTTATAAATTTGGCAAATAGTAATTTAAAAGTGTGTACTATAAGTATTAAGACTGTTCCTCCCCATAATTATTTATATAAAAATTATTTATTAAAATTTTTTCTTTGATTATTAAAAAAAATTGTGTTTAATTTATAAACATTTTCCAAGCACCCTGATAAGTTTTAAATAAGCATCTTTGATCAGATTAGAACCTATATTAACTATAATCTTAAAGTGGTTCAACTAGGTTATGTTTTTTCAGTAAACAGTAACGTTACTTATTATCTTAGTTTAACTGAGTGTTATTGGCCAATTAAACTTAAGTTATAAGTGAGAAGACACAATTAACAAAAACAATAAAACAATGATATCGGAAGAACAAAAACTTAATATTTTAAGTAAATTGCAATTTTCTGATTTGTTTTGTTTTATTTATTATTGTTTTAAATGTTTATTTAACAATTTTCCAAAATTTTTCATTTTACAAAAGTATTATTTGCAAAAAACAGCTGTTCATTGTTTATGTTTTTGAGTGAAAAGTTGGCAATACTAACAAAGTTAACTGAACTTAAATCCATAGCTGAAAAACACAATCATCGATTAAAGTCGGCCTAAATGTGTTCCGAGTTTAATCTAACAGCAAGTTAAGCCTAGTTCAACTGAGTAGTAAGAAACCCGCCCTAAGAAGGACTTTAGAAGAGCTTAAAAGTGAAATGAGAACAATTGAATTCACATCCAAATAAAAAGTTTAAAATAAAATTAGTCTTGGAAAGGAAATCTCTATAGCCATACATAAACTCTCCCGATAAAACCTAGAAAACTACCTACCTAGTATCGAGGAATCTAGCCATTTCTGCCTCAGACTCAGAACTCTAGTGCAATTGCATAAGATATGCTGTAAATTTTATAGTTCTTCTATGCGTTACCGACCCAATCACCTAGCAAGGCTCTAAATACGCAGTGACCGCTATTTTCTTATAAAAATTCTTGTTTTCCAAAGAGTTTTCTTTGGGAAATTAGATGAATGATTTCCAAATTCTGTTTATTAAAGCTGGTTAAGTACTTCAATTAAATAATTAAAATTTAATTAATTATAAATTCTTAAAATTGATAATAACCATGAGAAATTCCCAATTATCAAAGTTCGGGGTTTTCTGCATTCATTATTAAAGCTTATCGCACACGATCGATTGTACTCTTTAAGTACAATATTTGATAAATAATATGGAACAGTACAACTAATATGTATTTAAATTTTAAAAGCGATAATCGGTTGTAAATCATGTCCAATATCGCAATCGATCGACTCTGAGATTTTGTCTTTACCAATATTAGTTTTAACATAAATATAACATTTAGCATTTTTCACTTTCAATTAGTTCGAGTTTGTTAAGTAAAACAACATGAAGTTCTTAGTAGTTCTTGCAGTTTTAGTGGTTTGCGCCCATGCTGGTAGCGTTTCGACTATTGCCGAGAAACTTATTCCTAATTTTGCCAGTGACTTTGTCATTAAGGGTCATGATGCTGTGCCACATTCCGCTCCCTATATTGTTTCGTTGAGAAAAACTGCCAATAATTCACACAGTTGTGGTGGTACTATCATTGCTAAGGATTGGATTCTGACTGCAGCCCATTGCATTAGTAATCCTGTTGGCATGGCAGTTGTTGCTGGGTTTACACGTACGCACAAATCTTGATGAAAAATCTCAATCTCGTATAGTCGATTGGGGAAAGGTACATGAGAAATACACTGGTGGTGTTGGGCCTTATGATATTGCCATATTAGATCTGTCGGAACCTTTGGAATACAATTCTTACGTTCAACCTGCTTCATTGCCTGCCGCTGAAGAAATTCACTCTGGTGAAATCCATTTATATGGTTGGGGACAACCTAAAGCTTACATTTTAACTGGCGCCAAGACTTTGCAAACTGTTGAAACTCAAATTCTTGAATTCAATGCCTGCAGGGAGGCTTTACATTCATGAGACCAATTTGTGCTCTGACTCTTTACAAACAAGTATTTCTGCTTGTAATGGTGATTCTGGTGGTCCTTTGGTCATTGAACAGGAGAATGCTCCCTCGGAATTGGTTGGTATTGTTTCCTGGGGTTACATTCCCTGCGGTTTGGCCAAATTACCTTCCATTTATACCCGTGTTTCTGCCTACATAGACTGGATTGTCAAAATCCAAAATACTTATTATGTTTTGCATTAAAAATTTTATATATATTTGGTGATTAATTCTCCATAGACCAAAACAGACTTAGGTCACTTTCAAAGTAAATAGTTCTTTAGCAGCCGTGTCTCTGTAAAACTCTAAATTAAGAACATTACTACTAACTCAGCTCATCTGTTTATAATTGCTACATAAAAAGTACCTTCATAAAGAAAATATTTTTAAGAAAAAGGCTAAAAGTACACACTACGAAGTCATATTATAGTTAAGTTAAATTAAGAAGTGTTCTTTTTTCTTATAAGTAAATCCCCTACTTCTTAACAAAGCTCAATAAAACGTATAAAAGAATCAAACAGTTCCTAGATCGATATCATTTCAAGATTGTTTATTGAACTAAACTAAAAGAAAATGAAATTCGTTTATTTGTTGGCAATTTGTGTTGTCTATATGACTGCCTTGGCAGCAGCTCAGAAAAAGGACAACAAGTTAAAGGTAAAAGGTTACAAACGTCGTTTAAATAAATTTAATATTAATATTTTCTTAATTTTTCTTTTATCTTAAAGTTAAACTTGCCTCCACCAACACCAAAAACTGTAAGTCTGATAATCGTAAACTCTTCGCCATCAGGTTACGTATACTAATTATTTGAAAACTTTATTTTAGTTGCCCCAACTTAGTGGAGGCGGTGGTGGTTCCCGTAAGCAAGGCTTTGATGTTAGCTTGGATGCCAGTAAAAAGGTTTGGGAAAGTCAAAATAAACGTCATTCTGTTGATGCCTCCGTTGGCTATTCTCAACATTTGGGAGGACCTTATGGCAATAGTCGTCCAGATTATCGTGGTGGTGTTGGTTATACTTATAAATTTGGTAAAAAGTAATTCATAAAATGTATTATAACAGAAATAATTACTTTGTAATGGGTAGTTTCCATATAATAAATAAATAGATTTGCTTGAAAATTATCATTGATTTAATATAAATATATTGAGTTTTATTCGTTTGTATAATGTGAAGGGAAGAACTAACTATAAAATCTACTAGGAAGTTCAATCGTGACTGATTTTTACAAATCCCGTTAAGCGATTTCTCTTTAACTCGATTCTAAACCAAAAATAAAAACATTGTGACCCCCCTGATTTTGCTTTGGGTTAATATAGGAAAAATAATATCTGTACATCATCTAGATATTTTTACTTTAATTTAGATTAACTCCAATTACAATCCTCAATCTATAATGAAGATTATAAATAATATCAGAAATATCTAGGAGTACAGCTATTCACTGTACTGTAAAAAATTAATTTATTAATGCTTATTAAGTACTTGAATAAAATACTTAAAATGTTGTTAATTATAAATTTATTAGACTGATAAAACTGTAAGGATTTCCCAAATGCCAATTTTCTGGTTTTTCGGTATTTGGTTTTCTTGGAAATAAATTAAATCGGACATTGTACTCGTTAGGTACAAATTGTAGATAATGTGTCGTAGTACGAAAAGTAGTGACGTTTATCAATGGCGTATCAATAATAAATGTCAAAAGCCATAATCGCCAAAGTTGTACGCTAAATTTTATTTAAAACTAGCTATACCCAGTGTGGTTTGCTATCCTAAAAGCAATATGTATAAATAAAAATCCCACTTAACGATTTTGAAGATTCTAACTACAATAGTTTTCCAGATATATAATATGTTACATATGAGAGATGTCAAGCAAATTATTTCAAGTTCGCCAATTTCTATCTATCTATAAAAAATTTTAATAATATAAGAGTTTCCAAGATGCACGAAATTTTGTATTTAATTCATATATGTAGTGCCAAGCCATCCATTGAAAGTCCGCCCGTTATGCTCTAAATAATGAATTTCAAAATTCTTCATGTAAAATTTGAAGATTCTAGCTCTAATAGTTTCTCAGATATACGAATTTTTCTATTTGAGCTTGAAGCCCCCACACGAAATTTTATATTTAATGCATATGGGAGGTGCCAAGTTCCCCATTGAAAGTCCGCCCGATATGCTTTAAATGTTCACATGAATTTCAAAGTTCTTCATATAAAATTTGAAGATTCTAGCTCTAATAGTTTCTCAGATATACGAATTTTTCTATTTGATTCATATGGGGGCTTCAAGACCCCCCAGATGAAAGTCCGCTTTTTTCCTCCAAAATGTTCAGATGAATATTTAAGTTCTTTGTGCAAAATTTGAAGAATTTAGTTCCATTAGTTTTCCAGATAAACGAATTTTTGTATTTAATTAATATGGGAGGTGCCGCTCCCCTCATGGGTAGTCCGCCAATTTATTACCCAAAATGTTTAGATGGATGTTAAAGTTATTTGTGCAAAATTTGAAGATTCTAACTGTAATAGTTTTCAAGATAAACGTATTTCTGTATTTAATTTATATGGGAGGTGCCACGCTCCCTAATGCTCGTACGCCTACTTTTTGTCCTAAATAATTATATTGACACTAATGTTGCTCTGACAAAATTTGAGGACTCTAACTGTTATATTATCTAAAATATACGGATTTAATATTTTCTTAATATGGGCGTGGCTCCTTGCCCAATTGGAATTTCAAAATATAAAGTAGCCTATTACCTATTCCAGACATACAGAAATACGCTGTGAAAATTTTAATAAAATCGGTTCAGCCGTTTAGTAGTCTATAACGTTCAAACATACAAACAAGCACACATTCATTTTTATATATGTACTAGCTATACCCAGTGTGCTTTGCTACCCTAAAAGGAATATGTATAAATAAATACCAGATTTATTATATGTTACATATAAAAGATGTCAAGCAAATTATTGCAAGTTCGCCAGTTTCTATCTATCGCCAATTTCTATCTATCTACAAAAAATTTGAATAATATAAGAGTTTCCAAGATGCACGAAATTTTGTATTTAATTCATATATGTGGTGCCAAGCCCCCCATTGAAAGTCCGCCCGTTATTCTCTAAATGTTCACATGAATGTCAAAGTTCTTCATGTAAAATTTTAAGATTCTAGCTCTAATAGTTTCTCAGATATACGAATTTAATTCATGTGGGGGCTTCAAGCCCCCCGGATGAAAGTCCGCCCTTTTTCCTCCAAAATATTCAGATGATTATTAATATAATTTGTTCAAAATTTGAAGAATCTAGTTCTATTAGTTTCCCAGTTAAACGAAATTTTGTATTTAATTCATATGGGAGGTACCAAGTAACCCATTGGAAGTCCGCCCGTTATATTCTAAATGTTCAGGTGAATGTCAAAGTTCTTCAAGTAAAATTTAATGATTCTAGCTCTAATTGTTTCTCAGATATACGAATTTTTCTATTTTATTCATATGGGGGCTCCAAGCCCCCCAGATGAAAGTCCGCTCTTTTTTCCTTAAAAATGTTCAGATGAATATTAAAGTTCTTCGTGCAAAATTTTAAGAATTTAGTTCCATTAGTTTCCCAGACAAACGAATTTTTGTTTTTAATTAATATGGGAGGTGCCGCTCCCCTCATGGGTAGTCCGCCAATTTTTTACCCAAAATGTTTATATGGATGTTAAAGTTCTTTGTGCAAAATTTTAAGAATTTAGTTCTATTAGTTTCCCAGATAAACGAATTTTTGTATTTAATTAATATGGGAGGTGCCGCTCCCCTCATGGGTAGTCCGCCAATTTATTACCCAAAATGTTTATATGGATGTTAAAGTTCTTCGTGCTAAATTTTAAGAATTTAGTTCTATTAGTTTCCCAGATAAACGAATTTTTGTATTTAATTTATATGGGAGGTACCACGCCCCCTAATGCTAGTCCGCCTACTTTTTGTCCTAAATGATCATATTGACACTAAAGTGGCTCCGACAAAATTTGAGGACTCTAACTGTTATATTATCTAAAATATACGGATTTTATATTTTCTTAATGTGGGCGTGGCTCATCGCCCACTTGAAATTTCGAAATAAAAAGTAGCCTATTACCTATTCCAGACATGCAGGAATATGCTGTGAAAATTTCAAGAAAATCGGTTCAGCCGTTTAGTAGTCTATAACGTTCAAACATACAAACATACAAACAAACACACATTCATTTTTATATATATAGATATAGATAGATTTACCTATGTTGAAGGTCTTTGGGATGTTAGCAATTAATTTTGTCACCGTCTTTTTTGTAAATCTCATTCTGGTTTTTATATTATTTAAAACTCATTCTCATAAGTTTTTATAGTCAAAACTTAAATATAATTTCTTCTCTTAAAGAGAACCATAAAAACCGTCCTTAGACCTATGAGAAGTTCACTGGTAATTTTGGTCCTTAAAATACTATTATACGTTGAAACTGTCGCATTGTCCATGTGAAAAAATGTTCATATCTTCAAACTAACCCAGGAATTGTTCCCACAGAGGACAACTTAGATTCTCCTTTCGTTTGGCTTACTCACTTCATGTGATACCTTTAAAAACGCTCTCGTTTCCCCAAGCTCCCTTTTTAGTTGCCTATTATCTCAAGTAGAACGATCGTGGATCTAACTTTATAGGATAATAATGCCTTATACCTCTTTGTGTTCATTTTACACATACTTATTAACAAGGACTTCTGTTGTAGAATATAGTAATTTATCTCGGTTTCTGAGTAGATCGCCTTTCCCGTTCTATTTCCAAGCTTAGAGCCTTCTGTGTAGCCGAACTATAAGTGGTTCGAATAATTCGCAAACAATTACGACCAAATTTATTGGGTCCAACTGTTCCCATTCATGAGAACAATGAAGGTGATATTTCTGAATTAAAACCTTAAAATCTACACAGTTTAATTTAAATGTTATATTTTTTAATTAGGTCCTATAAAATCCAATCGAATATTGTCATTATATCAAAATTTAACAACTTTCAAACGAACAAAAATATATTAAAAGTTTCATACTTCTGTTAAATAGTGCAAAATTTATAAAACCCCAATTTAAAAATAATAAATACCACATTTATAAGTAAATATAGTATTATATCATAAAAAGTACTTACTTTATAATAAGAAAGTAAATATTTATATAGAAAAAATAAAACAATTGGCATGACTATATACAATTTAGTCATATTATGGTTTAGCTAATTTAAGAAGTACTTTTTTCTACAAAGTAAATCCCCTCTTACGAAACAGAGTCCAATAAAACGTATAAAAGAATCAGATAATTCAAAAATCGACATCATTCCTAGATTGTTTAACAAAGTTAACTAAAGTCAAAGTATAAAATGAAATTCGTTTATTTATTAGTAATTTGCGCTGTCTATATGGCGGCCATGGTAGCTGCAAAGGACAACGACTTTAAGTTGAAATTACCTCCACCAGAACCGAAAAATGTAAGTTTTAAAAACCTAAACATTTTTACAAAATGATGAATTAACAAAAAATATTTTAGCTGCCCCAATTGAGCGGCGGTGGTGGCGGCTCCCGTAAACAAGGCTTTGATGTAAGCTTAGATGCTAGTCAAAAGGTTTGGGAAAGTCAAAATAAACGTCATTCAGTTGATGCCTCCGTTGGTTATTCGCAACATTTAGGCGGACCCTATGGCAACAGCCGTCCAGAATATCGTGGTGGTGTTGGTTATACTTATAGATTTGGTAAAAAGTAGTTCATAAATCTTTTAAATGAAATGTTTCCGTGGTATTAGTTTAAAACAATAAAAATTATTGAAATCCGAGAAACTATAATTTGTTTAATTAATGAATCATAATAAATATTCAAGAATACAGACTGGGGTATAGTCAGGACTATAGAATGGACTGCTCTATAGTCAAGACTATAGAATGCTCTATAGTCAAGACTATATACTGCTCTATAGTCAAGACTATAGAGTTCTCTATAGACTGCTCTATAGTCAAGACTATAGACTGCTCTATAGTCAAGACTATAGACTGCTCTACAGTCAAGACTATAGACTGCTCTACAGTATAGACTGCTCTATAGTCAAGACTATAGACTGCTGTACTAGTCTTGACTGTACAGCAGTCTATATATCTATAAACTGCTCTATAGTCAAGACTATGGACTGCTCTATAGTCAAGACTATAGAATGCTCACAACGCTCTATAGTCAAGACTATAGACTGCTCTATAGTCAAGACTATAGACTGCTCTATAGTCAAGACTATAGACTGCTCTATAGTCAAGACTATAGACTGCTCTATAGTCAAGACTATAGACTGCTCTATAGTCAAGACTATAGACTGCTCTTTAGTCAAGACTATAGACTGCTCTATAGTCAAGACTATAGACTGCTCTATAGTCAAGACTATATACTGCTCTATAGTCAAGACTATGGACTGCTCTATAGTCAAGACTATAGAATGCTCTATAGTCAAAACTATAGACAGCTCTATAGTCAAAACTATAGACTGCTCTGTAGTCAAGTATATAGACTGGGCTGTAGTCAAATCTATAAACTGTTTTATGGATAAGACTATAGACTGCTTTATAGTCATGACTATAGACTGCTCCATAGTCAATACTATAGATTGACTACAGTCTGATCTACTGTTAGACATATAACCCTGTCTATAGTTAAAACTACTTAGAGGATTAAATACAATAAAAAATGCTCACATTTAATTTTTCCTTTGTTTCATAATTTCTTTATCTAACGGATAAATATTTAATACAAAACATAATAGGCATTTTGGATTTTAGCAATCCAGTCAATATAAGCAGAGACACGTGTATAGATGGAAGGTAATTTAGCTAAACCACAAGGAATATAGCCCCAGGAAACAATACCGACTAATTCAGAGGGAGCACCTTCACGTTCAATGACCAAAGGGCCACCGGAATCACCATTACAAGCGGAAATACTAGTTTTCAAAGAGTCGGAGCAAATATTGCTTTCATCGATGGGAGCATCTTCAGGTAGAGTAGCTTTGCAGGCATCATATTCAAGAATTTGAGTTTCAACAGTTTGCAAAAGCTTGGCGCCACTTAAGATGTAAGCTTTAGGCTGTCCCCAACCATATAAATGAATCTCACCAGAGTGAATTTCTTCAACGGCAGGCAATGCAGCAGGTTGAACGTATTGGTTATATTCTAAGGGTTCAGAGAGATGCAAAATGGCAATATCATAAGGACCAACACCATTATTGTATTTTTCATGAACCTTTCCCCAATCGACAATACGAGTTTGTGTCTTCTCATCAAGATTTGTGCGTTCGTGTAAACCAGCAACAACAGCCATGCCAACAGGATTACTAATGCAATGGGCAGCAGTCAAAATCCAATCTTTAGCAATGATAGTACCACCGCAATTGTGACCAAGATTGATATTATTTCTTAATGAAACAATATACGGTGCTGAATGAGGTACTGCTTCATGACCCTTGATAACAAAATCACTAGCAAAACTGGGTATTAGTTTTTGGGCAATATTCGATAGGCTACCAGCATGGGCGCAAGCCACCAAAACTGCGAAAACTACTAAGAACTTCATGTTGTGTTACTGAACAAACTCAAACTAATTGAAAGTGAAAATTGTAGGAGCTATTTATATTAAACATATGTATTACATTCATAGTGGAAAATCTTAGTGTTAATCGATAACGATGATTATTTAGTTGATATTGTTATAATACCCCTAATCGCCATTACTATTGGTTTATTATTATCTATGTTTTATACTTAAATTCGATTGTGTGCGATTAGCTTTTTTAGGAAAAAAATAAATTGCCAAAAAACCAGAACTTAAATGGTGGGGAAATTCTAAAAACTTTTTTATCAACCAAAAAATTTTAATTCATAAACTTTTAAGTACATACTTTAATGAAGTACATAATAAAAATTTATAACTAGTGTAAACCAGTAGTTCCTCTAACAGACCTAAATAATTTTAGTTGAGGCAGTTCAAAAATTACGAATAATGGTAGACATCATCTATAAGAGACAATTATCAATTCCACTGTAAATTCTAGTCTAGGAGATACAATTGTAACACAGTTATAATTCTTAATATGTGTGACAGACAGATAAAATAAACTAATGATCACAAATTTAAAGAAACGATTTAAATGAACAAAGTCTGTGAAAAATGGATTTTTATATGAAAAACTTAGAAAATATAAACAATTAATGATCGATTACAACCGACTTAGAATCTTAAATAATGCTCCAATTGAGAAAAAGACAAATCTATGATCATAATTTTCATAAATAAACATAGAATCGACGGCAAATCCTCAAATAACGCTTGAGTCAATAAATTTGTATACCCTACACCACTATAGTGGGGAGGGTATTATACGTTTGTGCTGATGGAAATATTGGTCCTACACCCACCTTTAAGTATACCGATCGACTCAGAATCACATTTTGAGTCGATTAAGACATGTCCATCCGTCCGTCTGGCGGCTGGCTGGCTGTCCATGTAAACCTTGTGCGCAAGGTACAGGCCGCAATTTTCAAGATAATTTGATGAAATTTGGACCAAGCATGTTTTTTGGCACAAGGACGAAGCCTATTGAAAATGGTTTAAATCGGTCCATTATTTCACCTAGTCCCCATACAACTGTACCTACCACCTAGCCCCCATACACGTATCCCCATACAACTATTATTTAAAAATATATCCTTTTCCCAAATTTAATGAGGATCGGCCCATGTTTGACCTATGCTCCTATATAAAGCCTCATTTAGAAAATTTGTTTTTTATCAATAAATTGTTTAAATACTTTGGAATTAACGTAAAATTCAACATAAAAGTTTCTTTGTGAAAAATAAAAATTTTTCAAATATACTCATGGTGTAGGGTATTATATGGTCGGCCTTGCCCGACTATACTTTCCTACTTGTTATACCAAAATTCTAAAATCGGCTTAAATAACGAAATAGAAAAGTCTGTGATAAGTTATATTTTCCTAGGGAGTTTTGCCAATTTCCTACATAGCGCGTCTTAGATTTCCACAGTTGGCACTTTTTTGTTCCCTGCGGAACCTAATTGACTTCTTGGATCATATATTTTCGTCATCCTGTAATAGTGTGCTAAAACCTACAGTGAGTCAAGTACACAGCATGTCATTGTCAAAAATGTACAGGTGAAAGAGTAGGATTTACTCGCTAGAAGCTCTAAGTAATATCAGGTGAAAAAAACAACCAAAAATCCAACAAGGATAAAGTTGGAAAAGGTGAATGACAGCCTAGCATCTTTCTGGGGCCGACGATGAAGAAGATGCTCTAGAAGATATAGATTCAATCTAAGGACACTTCGAAAGATAAGTAAGAACCAAATCTCCTAATGTTCTCAACACTGAGAACAGAATCAATAAGACAAATAGTTTTTCATCTTCAAATATACCTTTCTCAAAGGAATCTACACTCAGAATACAAAGGGATACAAAGCAAATTATTATGAAGACGAGTACGTCGGCCATGTAAGATGACGCTGAAAAGGAAAGAAAGCTGCTATCTTACGCAAAAGTTGACACGGCAACGATAACTGCTTTTCAATGTACGTCACCGTTAAACCATAAGGTAGAAGATCTGGCCAACAATAGGACACCATGTAATCTAATTCTGAGTGCAAATAACCAAAAAGTTAATTAACAATTTTTTACTTGAAATTTTACGATTATACAAATCATCTTGCAATAACTGTAAATCCTTAAAAAACTCCCCAATTAGCAAAAGAATTCTTATTGTATCAAAATTTATACAGGTATGGAATAGGTTAAGAAAATTAGCTTAAATGACTTACCTTTTTCTTGCATTTATGTAGTACTGACTGCCAACTTTATATTCTTGATCTTTACAACAAGATTTTTTTTATTAAATGCACACATTTTAGGTATTTCATTTTTCTTTTTTTCATTTTTTTCTAAATTTGCAATTGCTCTTTAATTTTATTTTCTTTTATTTAAACCTTTTCTTTATTTTTCAAAATTTTTGGTAAATTAACAATTACCTACTTTATTTAATTTAAACTGATTTTATTTTATTTCTATAGCTAATTTTATTTTTCTAAACAAAACTTCCTTTACTATCAACATCACCGCCATCTTTACTTTAACTTATTTGATTTCTTTCTTTATTTAATCATAACTTTTACAACAACACCACACTAACCGCGCATTTCCATCAAACAATAACAACAACCACAGCAACTAACCAAATAACGAATGACCAGAGAATCAAAAATAAACGAACGGCTTGCTAATTTGTAAAAAAAAAATTTGCACAATTTTCAAATAAGATTTTTAACAAAATTTTAATGATTCTTATAACAATTTTTACATAAAAATAAACTTTAATATTTAATTTATATTTTAAAGCAAAAATATTTTTAATTTCTTTAATTTTAATATTATTTAATTAATTTTTTAAATTAACATGCACTTTTTACAACCGCACTGTTCAGAAATAAAGTAAAAACTAAAAAAAGAGGAAGAAGAAGATTTGAAGGGCTCTCAATTAAAGCTAAATGTAAACAAAACTCTTCTTTTTTAAGTAAGAGGAGAGTAAATGTGTGTGAGTAGGTGTGTGTGTGCAATGTTTATTTACCTTGTTTATTTACATTTTTAATGCAATGAGTGGCAAAAAATGGACAATTTTGACAAATTTCCTTGTTTATTTTTTGTTAATAATATACATACATATTTATGTAACAAAATGTGTAATTTATTTAAAAATACATTATTTTTGTAATTTTTCTGTTAAACAATTTAACGGATTTTCTTCTAAACCAATTTTATTCAAACAACCTTTGCGGGAAACGTTATGGAAAAGTTACATAGTCTCCTTAAATGGAGGATGTATGTATGTTACATCAAATCCTTAGAAATACACCTAAGGAAACGAACCTACCTCTTCCAGACTGAAACACTAACTACTAAGCTACCGGATTTACACACATTAAAAAGTTATAGATAAAGATAATTACCAATTCCACAAAACATTTTAAAATGAATATTCTAACACAATCTATTTATTTGCTTACAATATTTATTATTTAATTTGAAATCCATGTATAGAATCCATTACAAATCTACCATCTGTAAGTATAGATGCCACCCACACGACGATCTGCTGGACTATTACCATAAGGACCACCCACATGCTGGGAATAACCACCAGTTATATCAAAAGAATGTTTACCATTATCACTTTCGTAAACATTTTTACGCACATTGGCAGTAAAATCATAACCATCCTTTTGATTGCCACCACCCGCCACAAAGACTTTGGGATCCTAGTGAAAAATTAGTAGGAAATTTCATGAAACTGTTTTAAATTAATTTATAAATTATAAAATACCTTTATTTCCTCGCACTCAGCCAAAACAGCAGCCAAAGTAACCAACAATAAAACAAACAATTTTCATTTTTTTGAAACTATATTTTCTTTATAAATTTTTAATTTAAAATATTAGCTTCTGTTTAAATGACACCGCTTTTTATAGTTTCATGTTAAGTTAGTTAGCCGGGGAATTTTTAAGATTTTTTTACTCTAAAATGCTTTTATAGTTTTGTTTGTTGAATCATTTTCGTTCTTTCGTTCTTTGAGGGGATTTTCCAATTAGTAAAGTACCTCCCTTTTATTTGTTGTAGTTGCATTTTAAAAGAAAACATGAATAAAATTATCAAATCAATTACAATTGTTCTGTTCCGGTACTAAAAGCTAAAAGGTTTTCCGCAGAAATAAATTGTAGTGAGAATATAAAGGCGGTTGAGGCAAAACTTCCTCGACACTTTTTTTCTAATTAGTTTTCACGCTTTATGTTAGACCGCATATTCTGGGCGTATAATTAGCGTCAAACAAATCCTTTGCATTCGGTAGAGGTTCTCTGTGATGATCTGTCATGATTTTAGCAGCTTATAATATATAAGTCCCTCTTGACCCCACCAAATACATAGCATGACCTTAGCACCATTT